ATTTATTTATTTATTTATTTATTTATTTATTTATTTATTTATTTATTTATTTATTAAACTGTTTTATTTATTTATTTTTTAAACTGTTTTAATCGAGAAATGTATGAATAAACAATCCTTTGTTATCTTTTTATTGTACATGTTTGAAAAATAAAAGAAAATGAAATTGCAATACAACTAAAATCTTACGAATTTATCTTAAATTATGTAGAGCAACAAAACTCATTAAACGAAGAAATAGTTTCAAGATAACATGGAAATATCTCATATCATCAATCAATCTTCTTCCAACTAGCCGAAAACTTTGTAGCTCCCATTGTCTGCTACACACGAAAATCTTCACATACATCATAATATAATATTCATGTGCACATGTGAACAGCAGCAGAAAGCAATTGAAAAACAAAAACTATTGCCTCCCATGTGTTGGCATTTATTTGGGAAACATGGGATGACAACTCGTAAGCAGAACGTGTCCCATTGAAAGGCCAGATGTGCACTAACTGTCGCTGGCGGGCAGAGTCAAAAGGTTAAGCGATTGCATAATCAACAAGTTGATTATGAAACGCATTTACGTATTGTCAGCTAATGTTATTTCCATTGTTGAAGCCATAAAAGTTGACAGTTAAATTTGGCATAAAAAGGGGCGAAAAGAAAAACAAAACAAAACAAAACACAATAAAAATATAGCAGAAAAATTAAAACTGAAAAGCTTATGACAAATGGAAAGCATTTTACGAGTTTCCTTGGGCTGGCGGCGTCTTTTGTGCTTGCCGTTGCCAGGCGACACAGAGCACACAGAACACACAGAGCACAATAAGCACTCACACACACACACACAGAGATACACACAGATATACACATATGTAGTTTTAATTTAACTGTGCAGATTTCTATTGGGACACGCATTGTCCTTGTCATTGTGTGCTCGCCCTTTTAGCCAATATGTTGGCTGCCTTTGTCTGGCTCACAGCTTGAATATGTATTTGCCACTCCTCTGTGGGTTCGCTCCCAGCATGCAACCGTTTAGCTCTGTGAGATTTTTTACGAGTTACCCAAACGCCGCTTTGGCTTATGCATATATACATAGCGTTATGTTACGTTATGTCAGTGGCCGCTCAATAAAACACGCATAAATAATACATTGAAAATGATATATACATATACGTTTACATATACATATATAAAAACAAGCTGGAGCTCTAAGTAAATAGCGTTTAACTTTTGCTTTTTATGCCTGGCTCTGGGTATTCTCAATTTCTGTTCCGCATTTCCGCCGGGAGGCACTTTCATGCCCATAAAGTATTAATCAGTACACTCATAGCTGTTGCCAAGTCGTCAAACGTGAGAGAGTTTCAACTTGTTAATGGATGCTACGATAGCTCTATAAATATATTATAGATTGCGTGACAAAATTATAATACTATCTAAAAGGGTGTTTACATCTGCATATTGAAAATATTATAATTTCGTCACGTTTAATGCCAGGCAGGAGCGTCTGAAGAGTAAACAGACCCGCATGGACCTTTAAAATGTTTTTTCAGTCATTTAAAAATCGATACAGAATGCATTAATTGAAATTTAAAGTTTATTTAAGAGTTGAAGCCCCAATTAAATATTAAAATATTTTGTTTAATTATTTAAGTTTGAGACTTATGAGTAAACTATATATATATAAGCTACTAAAATATATAAATACCAATATTCCTTATTTAATTTAAATTTACTCAAATCTCGTATTAAATCTCTTAAATGTCTCGCTGTTTCTATTTATTTTTATTTTATTTTGTTTTACACACAATATTAAGTGCTTATAGTATATTTAAACATCAAATTTAATACGTGCCCCCTCACGTTGCATCTATTTTTGTACATTTATTTTAATATCAAACGCTTGCCCCCAGATGTTTCGCATTTTATATTTAATTCATTCTACTTACGCGTGCCATCGAAGCGTGTAGCGATTGTGTCCAGGAATGTATTTTGGGGCGCTAACAGCCCCTTGCGGGCTGGCATAGGAATCTTGACGGCCGGTGCGCCTCAAGTAGCGCCGCTCTGGGTCTGGGCAGAACTGCAAAAATATGGCCAGACAAGAGACAAACGACAGACGATTAGTTTAATTGACAAGTTAATTTAGCCGTTAATCATTTTGTAGAACATTTCGTAATCGCAATTGTTATGCTCGGATTTGTTGATGGCTTGCTTGTTTGTAGCCACACACCAGACGTACAACTAAAGTCGTTTATCAACTATGCAACAGGCAGCACGAACACACACACACACACACACACACAAACAGAAAAATTAATTCCATTTGCCACACAGCGCTCACATTTACAGTTGCGGCCGCAATTTGTGGTTAGAGAGCGACTAAATAAAAATATATATATAATAAATTGTGTGTGAAAACAAAGTGCAGAAAAATAAGACGAGCATTCAAGCATTCTGTAAAAATGTTTATATAAAATAATAATGTATTTATAAAAAAAAAAAAATAAAATAAAAAAATAAATAAAAAAAAAATTTTAAAAATAAATAAAAAAATAAAATAAAAAAATAGAAAAGAATATTTAAAATTAAAAAAATATATGTATATAAATAAATAAGAAATAGATAAAATAAAACTTTAATTTATGTCCTATAAAT